CTCTCTCTCTCTCTCTCTCTCGGTCTCCCTCTCTCCCTCTCTCTCACTCATTCTCTCTCACTCTCTCTCTCTCAATCTCTCTCTTTTTCGCCCCCCCCCCACCTCTCTCTGTTGTGCAGGTCTTGTGATATTCTGAGACCTACCGTACTTTATCTCTGTTGTTTGCTGGGAATTTCAACCTGTCATCTCATGAGACAATGATTGGCACACTGATAGTAAGCAAACTACAGCGTTTTACCTTGGACTTTTTGACAAGACTTTTATTACAAAGGTTTAAACAGTAGAGAATAAAAAAGGGGTTGAGACTTGTAGTTGTAGAATTTCCAAGAACATTTCTATAATTTCATCACCATTCAAAAGAAGATGCGCGTTCCCCCTGAGACGAAAGTAATCGCCACAGTGTTGATTGATGTGCCCCATCGAGTATTACAGTGGTACTGATAGAATATGTGTCCTTATTCAACTCCGACAGATTGGAATGTGTGGTGTACATAAATCACATAGAGAATAACTCACAATTTATTATGTACCATGCCAAGGAGTAATAATAGTTAATAGATTTCATAAATTTATACTGCTCTCTATCTATCTCATACAAAGAAATATAAGTTCAAGAAGCTTTACATCGATGGCATGATCAATGAGAGTAAAACCTCACTTACACAAGTAAACAACAAAAACATTACAATTTCCTGTAAACAGAACAGCCCCCATAACAAAAGAACAACAACAAAACAAGACCAAAAACAACAACAGAAAACAAACACTCAGAAACAAACAAACAAACAGACAAGCAAAAAAAACAAAAAACAAACAACCCCCCCCCTAGACAAACAAAGCCTCATATTAACCACGTAGTTTTTTTAAAAGAAAAACAAACGTTCTAACCATAGCTGAGTGATGACAAACGTGAGTACACGGTACTTGTGGCTGTGTCAGCTCGTTACAGGACACGTGCTGCCATGCAGGCTCATGTGTCAAGTGGACATGGGCTTAGCAACAGCCAGGGTTTTTATGACTGTGAGCTGCGCCACTTCAGACTGCTCATTCTAATTTGTTTGCGCTTCAAGTCCAAGCTCCCACTCTTTCTCTCTGTGTGTTTCTCTCTGAAGTGTCTCTCTCTGTTAATCTCTCTCTCTCTCTCTCTCTCTCTC